TTTTTTGGTTGCTTGTTTGCATCTTTGAACAGAGGCTTAAAACTGTTTGCAGAGTAATTTGTATTTTGAGGATTTGATTTTTTTTCCCACTCTGGTAAAAATACAGCCAAACTAAGCTAAAGTACCTACTGTTTAAAATGCTGGAATTTTAACATGAGTACAGCAGGATCTCTCCCTCCTTCCTGAGTGAACACTAGGCAGGATTTTCACCACAACTGCTACTGGGAGAGAGGCAGCGAAGCCTAGCCTGGGGTGAGGCAGCCAAGCCACAGCAGGGAGACGCTGCTGTGCTCTCAGTGCTGATCGTGTCCCCTGTGGGTTCACAAAGCAAGCAGAAACCCATGGGGAGCAAGACTCAGGACCAGGACCAATTAAACAAGACAGGCAGAACAGCTTGRTCCAAAGAGCCTCCAGAATATAAGGAGTTCCGAGTTCAAAACCCAGACCTGGGAAGTCTCAGCATCGCCCCCGGTGTAAGCAAACACCTGCGTACTCCATCAGAGTCCTCTCCTCTACAGCTGCTTCATCTATAACCACTACGAATTTATCCTGTTAGCTCAGTAAATGGAGGTATGCAGCGAGACTAGAAAAATGACAGCTAATCACAGTAGTTAATTCTGTAACTAACTTTAAAAAAAAAGAAAATAGTTTGAAGTATTTAAACATTTTTTTTTTTTGCTTTTTGGTTATGTATACAAATCAATAAAGTACCAAAATCAAAAAACAAAATATGCATCAAGTGCATAAAAGCACATAAACTATACAAGTAAAAAAAGCAGGTAAAAGAAACTCACCAAAGAAAAACTAGATGGCAGCACCTATCCATTTTTCATAATGTCACAAATATAAGCTTCAAAACAAAATATGAAGGCCAAAGTTTAACTATCTGAATAACCACTTTCAAAAACTTCAAAAATTACTTGTGATCTCTGAAAAAATATACTAAAAGCAAGAACACCTGTGCTTAATCTACTTGTAGCACATGGTTCCAGAAYAATTTTTTTCTCCAACAAGATTAACTAAGGTTCTGAAATTAAAGCTCTTGCTTTCCAAAAAAATGAGCATCTTAACCAAGATCCTATAATAGATCTCATAATAGATCATAATAGGTCATAAAAGATACCCCACCAAAAAGTCAAGAACATAACTTACCTTTCTTTCAAAAAGAAAGGTACCTTTCTTTCTTCTTCCAAGAACCTCATATAAAATTGTTTCAAAAGTTGTATTATATTTGATTATATCTTGTAACTACAATGCCTAAAAGCCTCAGAAAAACATGAGCAAGGTATTACAAAGTCAAACAATAACTCAAATTACAAAGATGAACACTCAAAACATAAGAAATATCAGATGTGTTTGCTGAACAAAATCAATTCTGTGCCTTGATAGTCCATCTGACACCTCTTTCTTCATACATTTATCACACAAAGTCCAAAATTCATTGCACATGTATGGAAGAAATTAACATAGGATGAATGGGCAGATATGTAGCTTATCTATGTGACTTTCTGTGAAATCTAAATATATCATTATCTATCTATAAGAGACATATACAGATGTTTGACTTGTGAATCTTCAGCGATGCAATACCGCTTTTATCAACAGGTAACAGATAAAATCATTCTCTAAGGAAAGCATTACGTGGAGGGCAGACACTGAACTCAAGCAGAAAGCAGACTACACTTTCTCTATTTCAGGGCCTTTCACTGCTCCTAGAAAAAAAAGGGGATGCCTCCCTCACATACTGTCCTAGAAGCAAGCATGGCTGCTGGGGCTAGAGGAATTTCCACAAGGAGCCTGCTTCCATTGCACTGATTTTCCTCTCAAATAACTGGGAGATCTTCCATGGTGGCCACAGGATAGTGGTTAACAATCATGTCCTTCTAAAGTCAGAAATTCATCAGAGTTCACACAGCTCCACAATCACAACAAGTAGTGCCCTCATCATTGCATGAATCTCTCTGAATCTGTTGCTGAAATGTTTCTTAGTGTCACCAGTAAAAAATAATTGTATTTATTCACCCATGTAATAAATAACTCATAAATAGACATACAAACTGAAACTGAGAATTTATTTGGATTTTTGTTCTTGACAAGCTAGTTAAACTCTGGAAATCAACATATACTGTGCTTATTACACTTCTGTCTGTGTATAGTTTTCCTAAAACATACTTACCTCAGGAGATTCTACAGATCTTCCTTTCCTTCCAGGTATCACAAATGTAAAAATTCCCTAGCTGCCTTTTCTGCAGAAAATGCTGTTAAACATTCCATTTAATAATGCTGTAATAATCCATAAAAACAATGAGAAATAAAACCAGACATACCTGAGCTGTTGTTAGGCGAAACACTGGGCCACTTGTGGGCACTGCAAGCCTGGGTGAAATGSTGGTCGGCCCCTGTCCCTGTGTTTGGACCTGGGCCTGCATTTGAGCCTGTGCTAGAGCCTGCTGAGGGACCATGACAAGCTGTCCAGCATCCGTGCGCACCAAGACCATTCCTAACGAGGATAAAGTAAGAGTGACTACTGGATAAGGGACAACATAAAGAACAATACATACAGAACCATCTAACTTAAGAACATCCAATTGGTATAGAGCATCTTACATTTTTACATCTTGCATTTTTCTGTTTTCCTGTGATGTAATAAAAGATTTGACTTCTAAGAAGAAAAGGAATCCCTATTTCCTATTTCAATAAAACTTCCAAGTTAGTTCCAGAACATATTCTAATAAGTTAGCTGCGAGTASAACAGATGCAAGCAGAATAAAGCWTGACAGCAAAGAAGAATGCAACTACATACAAGAAAATATCTTCCCTGATGTTACTGGAGAACCAAAAAATAAGGATTTAGGAAATCTCTGTTACGCTGTTGATAACACGCGATGAGTAGACAATGATTCYATAACTGATCTGTCTGTGCAAACTGCTTCATATATAGAAATCTTCACTTCTCAAAGGAAAGGAGCAAAAGCATATGTCCACCACCAATTATCAGCTTTGGGGGAGCAGAAAAAAAGGGCAGGTTTTGCAACATATTGCAAGGATAAAGAAATTTGAGCACTATCGTAACAAATTCCAAAAGCACTCTCCTTGAAGGAAGTCTTTCTTTCAGTCTCTRGCATTGAAATTAAGTTCTGATGCTGCGGAGAACATGCGAGTGATGTACTCTGACTATGAGAGGTGCCACTAACCCAGGCTTAGGTGCCTGCAGCCAATCTCCACTGCCAAAGCACAGATAGACAGAAACTCTGCCCCACCACAAAGCAGAGAGTCCTGGAAATTGAGATTTAAGCTAAAGGGTAGARCTATGGCAAGGATGACATCCAAAAGACACAATCATAACTCTCTTTCAAAGCTCAGAGGGTAACTTTTAAACAAACAGTCTAAAAAATATGTATATAATGTTTTTAAAACCTAACTTTTGGAGTAGCTTATCAAATGCCAAGCCATAGAGCTCATAATTGTCTGCTGATAGAGCTTTCTACAAATATTTCATATATGCCATTACTGCTCCTAAACCATCTGGACACCCGAATAGTAGCCCATTGCCGCACTTGGTCAAAAAAACACTTCTAATTTCTCCCTTAAAACTGCGAAACTTATTCTGAATTAAAAAAAAACATAGCGGGCAAGTTAATAGAACACATGCTAGTATCAAGAAAAGCGGTAGGCATAATTACCATGCATAATTGTTTATGCATTAGTTTTCATATGTTTTAATTCAGTTTGGAAGATTTTAGGGTTTAATTTATTTTACCATACAACGTGCATAGAATATTCATATACTCAAAATCTGACTGAATTAGTAGATGGGTAATTTGCCTTACTCTCAGCTGCATGAAGTTGAAATACCCAATTTAGGAGCTTGCATTACAGATTAAGACGCGCTACTCTCAGAAACTGATGCTAAACTTTTGCTTTAGACAAAACTTTACCCTATGGGAGCTAAGTGTGAACCTTTAAAATGACTCTCTAATTTAAAGATAAAACTCACAAGTTTCCATAGTACGAAGGCTATCACATTTTCTGAAATTACAACAAATTGTTTTCAACTGGCCTTTTTTTCCTTTTACATTTAAAGAAACAGCAAAATATTGACACAATGAGCTTGAGAAAACGAACAAGAAATTATGCCATACATTGAGATTAAGAAATCAAAGAGTAACACTATTATAGTCTAAATAGCAAGAATTTGACTTTTATATCTAACTTCTTATATGTTTATAAGTTAATTAGGTCTTCATTAAACCACTCAGCTTTATCTGATTGAAGCATTAGCACTCGTAGCAGAAATCATAAACTAGGGGCAAATGCACAATTAGTTAAAACAAAGCCACAACAGGAACAAGGTTTAACACTATCTCATTTTTCGCACCACTTCCCTCATAAAGGCAAGGTGTTTTACAGAACAAAATTGTTCCACTAACACGTTGAAAGAAGTGTTATATCTGAGTACATCTTCAGTATCGCTGCGTTAGCAGTTTACAAGTTAATTAAGCTGATAACCCCCGAGAAAACAAAGTTATCAATTCATTGCAATGTGAGCATCTAATCAGGGGAGCACCGAACACGACCCTTCAGCCTTTCAGAGGAGAAAATGCTGTGGCAGGAGGATCCACTAGGATGAAGACACACTATTCTGGTCTGTTGTCAGGCGCTTTGAGCATAGATTCCTAATAAAGACAATTAAGAAACTAAAAGGAGAGCGAGAAGGATGGAGCAGTTACTTCAGAATTAGAAACACAACCCAAGGGCTGCAGTGGGAGCTCAGAACCCGTAGGGACGGCACAGCCTCCAGTGCTGGAAGGAGGGGGGAAAAAACCCACTTGGATCAAGTTCAGCCCGCCCTGCTCACCGTCACCTGGGCCGCCCCGGCCGAGCGGCGGGCGGCTCCCCGGCCGCGGGAGCAGGGCAGCGGGCAGCACGGGGCGGCCGGTCCCCCCGCATTCCCGCTGCGCGGCTCAGGGCCCCCCTCCCCGCCCCGCGCGGCTCGCGGGCTGCCCGGCCCGGCCGCACTTACCGGGCGGGATGGTGAAGCCCGGCGGTAGCTGGATCGTGGTCTGCTGCGGCGGCCGCACGATGAGCTGCGGCGCCACGATGCGCTGGGC